AGTTTTTTGAAGCCTTTCTCAAAGTGAAATGAACTTTTTTTCTGAGAATTCTGTAGATCATGAACATATTGCTCTGCTAACAGTGAAAGCTATTTTTCATATCATTAGAGAAATCAGGTTCAAAATTGTTTAAGTCTCTTCATTCTGTGATCTAAGTGTTAACACATTAACTTCCATGTAGGTTGTATTTAACTCATGCTAGTTGTGAGCCCAAGCCATGTGAAGGAAAACCTGGGCAAAATCCTGCAATTGGTTTGCAAAAATCTTACTTGTAAATGCTCTTATTGTTACAATTAATATTGACAATTTCATTCTAAAAACATGGATTAAGTAAATATAGAAGTCAATAAATTTCTCAAGGCGTAAGAAGTCACTTTACCCTTATGAACTATTTTTCAAGTTTTGACATAACTTTTTATTTTACTAATTTTCAAGTTTTTATATTATTTTTATTGAAAAAACATAGAAAACAATAAAAATAACAGATTTTTCATTAAATTAGAAAGGATTGTTTTGTTTTCGAGGTTCTATTTTTATAACAAAACACCATGGCCCCAAGGAAAAAAATTTTTTTGTTCTAGTGTGGCAGTCAATGTGTTAAATCATACTACTTTATCAAAGCACTTTCTCTTGTCTTTCACACAGATTCATTTGCATTTTCACATTCTTCTTTTTTATCATACCTCCCTCACAGAGAAGAATTAGCTAATAGGGACGTATGAATAGAGAGTGCAGCATGGAGGAACAACAATAGTAGACCTAGAAAAGTATTAAAAATTCAGCACAATAGAAAGTAGTTGGTTATACTAAGGAGAGAAGAAAGAAATATTTAGAAAGTACAGGTAGCAGGGAGAGCTCATAGCAGGGTCATTCTCATAGTGTGTTACCTAATAACTACTGTGGGGAAATTAAAATTAATCATTACTTGTAAGAAAACAGAGTAGAAGTCTGAGTTCCAGATATTTTTTTAAATCATGGTTATTAATTTCCCCATTGTGATGCTCCAAGTGGTAAGGACACTTGGTTAGGAGCAAGTTAGCTCTAGGCCCAGATTCTACTAGCCATGTTACTTAAAGGAGTCCTTTAATCTTCCTGAGATGCTGTTCCTTTATTTCTTATATTTAGGTATTTATGTGAACTAAAGCTTTTAGAGTATAAGTCAATTAACACTGAATCCAGTAACTTCTCAGTCGTTGGTTATTGTACTGTTAGAAAGTAAGTTAAATGAATGGTTAGTTTTTTATGGTTTTAGTGAAGAATAAGAATGATATGGAACATTTACTAAAATTTCTTTTGAGGTAACCCTACATAAGTCTGTATAGTAGGGTAGGGGAAAAAACTTAACAAGTTTTGAATAAGTTCACTTCTGACAACCTCCTATTTATGAAAGAAACTGTGCAAAGAGAACTAGATATAGTGTTAAACATAGTTGTCATTAAAAAAAGTCATAGTGATTCTGTTTCTTCCCCCCATAAATTAGTGGATAAAATTAAAATTACAACTACACATGGTGGCTCACGTCTGTAATTCCAGCACTTTGGGAAGCCAAGGTGGAAGGATCACTTGAGCCCAGGAGTTTGTGGTGACAGTGAGCAGTGATCATGCCACTGTACTTCAGCCTGGGGAACAGAATAAGACCCTGTATCTTAAAAAAATTATACTTGAAAAACATGACTTTCTGTTGCTATTTGGAATATTATTTGAGCACCATAACTCTTCATTTCTATATTCTGCTTAGTCTTGCATAGAAGTTAGAGTTCTAGTACCCTTATCAGGAGACCAGAATCAAATCCCCAATGTTGAAAAAATGTGGAAAGTGGTGAGGATGAGGAAACATTGTTCAGGTTTAAAAAATACATAAGGTTTTATATATATTAAATGTATATTTTATATATGTGTTTATGTATATACATATATATGTTCCTACCTTTTCACCTTTTTTATTTGATTCTATTGGAAGAAATAGACTGATTTAAATAATGAAAAAAAAATCCTCCTATTATTATAATAGATACCAAGATCTAGATCTGGGAACATTACCTTAAATGAAATTTTTTTTCTCAATTAAAAAGGACAGCTATTTGGCTTAGGGGATCATGTACAGCTAAATAGTGAACTAAAGAGGAACTATATCCAGGTGACTTCTAAAGGTCCATTCCAGTTTTATAATTTTGTTTGTTAAAATACATTTATTTAATAATTGTCAGAATACTAATTAATCTAAATTTGGAAGAAAGAACAATATGTAAAGGACATCTATTTTAAAAGTTACATTCAAATCTCTGTTTTAGGTTACCTTTCCTAACTTTGCTTTGTCAGGGTTTTTCGTGAACTTGTAGCACTTTGTTCTGCATTACATCATAGACTTACTCTATCTTTTCAAGGTACCTGTCCCTAGTGCCAGATAGACTCATTATTCATACAAATCTAGGTTATATTTTTCTAGGAAAATTAATTACTTTATGCTGGCTACATATGGTTAGCTTGTCAGCAGGAAAGCTTTAACATATTTTGGGGTGGTAAAATGTAGGCATTTAAGCAGGCTTTTTTTCTCTCTCTTTGTGCATGAAAGTAGTAGATTAATATATGTTAGAATTAATACATTTTGTAATACTAATGTTTTACATGGAGTACTGGAGAATTTCTTCTCATGTTTATTGTGAAGGGCAATACCTGACTTCATAATCATGAATAAGGGCACCTACTGAAAACACAGATGTTGTGAGCCTGTTATACACTTTTTGAATGGCCATAGCTGTATATATTACAATGTGAGTGCTCTTTTGTTCGTGTTACTATTCTAAAGGATATATTAAGTGTAATGGAGCATTATTCATGGTACCAATGTAATATGGATGTCTACCATTTACACTGTGTAAGAATAAAGAAGTCCAGAGAAATGAATACATTTGGGAGCATGCGATACAGTTTAAGACAAATCAAATGTCTTTATGAGGGTAACCTCTGCTTAACCCTACTTTGTGTGCTAGAGATACAGTATTTAAAAAGAATGATTCATGCCCAGAAAGATGTCATATTCTAAAAGGCCTCCCTTTGTCTTTCTACAATTTTATATTGCTTAAACTTACTCTATAAAAGCTTTAGAAATGTTCCCCTACCCTACCCTCCCGCCCCCCTTCTCCTTTCCTCTCATCCTCCCCTTTGCTTTCCTTTCCTCTTTCCTTTCCTCTAGACAAAGTCTTGCTCTGTTGCCCAGACTAGAGTACAGTGCTGTGATCATAGCTCACTGTAGTCTGGCCTCAAGGGATCCTCCTACCTCAGCCTCCTGAGGAGCTGGGACTACAGGCGCAAGTCACCATGCCTGATTAAATTTTATTTTTTGTAGAAATGGGGTCTCACTGTGTTGCCCAGGCTGGTCTCGAATTCCTGACCTCAAGCGTTCCTCTCACCTCATCCTCCCAAAGTGCTGATGTTACAGACATGAGCCACCACAACTGGTTCTTTTCTTTCTTTTTCAAAATATCTTGCTGAGCTTACAGTTTTTTTACTTTCTTTTAGGAGAAAAAAAATTTATTTTCCCTAGACAGGGAAATTTGAAGACATTCCTTAAAGTACTGTGTAGAGTAGACTTCTTATTTAACTACATTACTTGAGCTCTTAGAATCTTGATTACGCATAAACATTTAACATGTGGTGTGGCTAGGGAAAATGTTAGGTTTAAATTAGCTATTTATATTATTTGGTGATGGAACTTTTCAGTGTAAGGATTTTGTCCATCTGAAAATACACTCTCAGAGGCGTGTACCAAGAACTAATTCTTCATTGCTTAGTTTTTGTTAGGTGAGTAAGATGAGTTATATTAAGTCATTAAGATAGTGTCTGTAAATATCATGTTGCAATCTAATAAGCTTTCGTATAGTATATTTTAAATAACAATATATTATGAGCAGATAGATTTCTGTGTCCTAAACAATTATGATTTTCACTGTATTTTGCAACCTACAAGCTTTATATAGTGGTGTTTTTTAGCCTTTCCTTTAGGGTCTGTAGCTAAGAGAACTAGTCCCTCTTTTAACACTTTTGTGTTCTGTCACTATTTTTTTTTTTTTTTTTGTGACCTTGCCTCAAACTACTTTTGATATTTACAATAGTTGTTGAACTTCAACAATTTTACTATTACTGCCCCTTCAGTTTGTTTTAAGTCTCAAATCCCTAAGGCAAGGAATTCATATCTAGCTTAAATGCAGTTACGTGTATAGGTACATAACATGTGCTGAATATAACACAGGGAGTAAGCATAAAGGCAAGAACTTACCACTTTGTTCTTTTTGACACCTCTAACCCCCCACATTCCCAGGAGACAAACTCAGAGTCCCAAATAGGGTTAACTTGGCATATGATAGATTTGTGGCTTTGTGCTGCTTCTGTCGTCTGCTACTCCCATGTTTCCTACCTCTGATTCTGCTAATTTAGTATGTGTCAGGAGTCATTCTGCTTTCCTGTGTTTCCGAAGAAAGTCAATTTAGTACAAATTGGGACCTATTTACTCTCCCTCTATCTAGCACATACTGTTAGTCAGCAGGGCTTCTGAGGCCAGCAATTGCTATTTGAGGAAAACAAACCCTTTTTAGACCTTTCTGAATATGTTTTAAACATGACCCAGTATATTGCAGTATGGAACAAAAATTATTCAAACTAATAATATGAATGCTTTGTAATTTGTTACCTGTGTACCCTGTTACCTTTCTAAAATTTGGTCTTTAAAAACTGTTTACTTTATTACTTAATTAAATTTTATCATTTAATTAAAGCTTTCTTTTCATTGAGCATCTAAATTGTTAATTTTGGTTTTAAGGGATGACTCTGGATTCCTTACAAAAATAAGCAGGGCTTTGCTCTCTTCCTGCTATCAGTTTTAGGAGACATATTGCTTCCTTGGTACTGTCATACCAATAAATCATCCCAGATTACTTGCAGTCGTACAGTACTAAAGTATACCATGCATTTTAGAGGAAATCTGCTGTTTTCTTTTCAATCAGATGAGCAATGTGAAGAGACTACGGCCACGGCTCAGTGCTATTCTCTTTAAGCTTCAGTTTGAAGAGCAGGTGAACAACATCAAACCTGACATCATGGCTGTCAGTACTGCCTGCGAAGAGATAAAGAAGAGCAAAAGCTTTAGCAAGTTGCTGGAACTTGTATTGCTAATGGGAAACTACATGAATGCTGGCTCCCGGAATGCTCAAACCTTCGGATTTAACCTTAGCTCTCTCTGTAAAGTGAGTTTGTTTTTTAAAAACACATATTTGCCTGAACACTTACTCTTAACTCTCAGCCCTGATTACATTATTTAAATATTTTTATTTTGATGTGCTCATTATCAGGAACTTGAACTGAACCATGAACTCAAACCCAGAGTGAACTGAGCTAATTTACTCAACCTCTGAACTAAATCCAAATATTAATTTTCTCTGATCTGCAAATCCAACTGAAGGATTTTGTTTAATAACAAAATTATATTGTAAACCTGTACTTTCTCAAACTAATGAAATGGAACATCAAAATATTCTTTAAACGTAATATTTATTCAGTTCAGATACCTGCATACAGTGGTATATATATTTAGTATTGCTTAGGTATGCTGTTAAAATTTTTACCTTTAACTATTTAAAGATTTCTCTGTATTGTTTTTGTAAGCAGACTTTGTATAAAGGGAAATGATTATATTAGGAATAAACATACGTTGATGCCATTGATTTTGAAATGTTTCTATCTAAAGGTAATTTTAGAGGATATGAAAAAAAGGTAAGTTTAGAAATTTTCTTCTCTTTGGTCTTCCACAGGTTGATTTTCCTCACAGAAAATATATTCAATGCTTTATATAACAAAACTCTTTCCTGAAGAGTGGGCCATGGTAATAGTGCTATTGATCTGCTTACAACAAATTCTTCTCAGTTGCACATCACAAGAAAAGTTTTCTCTTGTTCTTGACCTCATAACAGCCACACTTTCTGATTAAGGAATTTGATTATTACCATTGCCAGTTAGGGAAGGAAGGTGAAAAACAAGTTCAGCTTTAGCTATGAGGTCACTGAATAGTTATTCTCTGGGGGCTTTCATGAATTTTCTTATACATTTTCCCTCACCTAAGCCTCTTAGTGGTATCATGTCAGCTTTTCCACTGTCTGATCTCCATCCTTCTGTTTTCCTCTCTTGTTTTCTCAGGCTACTCTATTTGGTTAAGATCTCTAGCATAGCTGATTCAATTCCTAAAACGGATCTTGAGGACTTTGCACATCTATCGCATGCTTACTCAGGGTGAAATCCTGTGTCAGATGCTTTGCTAGATTATCTTTTTAATGTATGTGATTAATATTTACCTGGCATACCTGGGAGTCATTTTCAACTGTAAGTCATTCATTATGATTAAGTGCTTTAATGAAACCATATACACAAAGTCTGGCAACAGAGTTAAGACAGAGAGGCTAGCTCAGCTACAAGAGGGCAGTTAAGTATTCAGAGAGGAACAAGAATTTGAGGTAAATCTTGAAGGATGAATAGATGTTCTGTGAGAGGAAGAGGCATTCTAAGCTAGGGTCAGCAGTTTGCATAACGAGTTATAGTGTGGCATGTGTGAGTACACTTGAGTGGTCCAATCTCTTTGGAGACTAGATGGGAAAGAAGTGGGACTAATGGGACTGAGGTAGTGAATTGGTCTAAGTCTTGAAGAACTTTGATTATCATGCCTAATGGTGGAGATTTTATGGAGACATGTTAGTTATAAAAGGCAAGTAATGTGATCAGATGTTTTGTAGGAAGATATTTCTATCAATAGTATGGAAGAAGGTTAAGCTGCAGTGTCAAGTACTATTGCCATTAAACATGTGGCTATTTAAATTCAAATTAGTTAAAATTTATGTAAAATTAAAAATGTAGTTCCTCAGTCACACTTGCCACTTCTCAGGTGCTCAGTGTCCATACCTGTTGACAGCCTAGTTATGGCACATTTCCATCATTGCAGAAAGTCCCACTGGACTGTGCTGGGTTAGAGGGTTATAGTGGGGAGCTCTTCAGTGATTGGGTGACACTTAGTGTGTGACCTAGGAGAGTGACAGAGGGAATGAAGAAGGTAGATAGGGATGATAGTGTGGGAGGTGGGAGTAGGGAGAGAGATCAAAGATAACTCCCAGGTGTCTAGCTTAGCCAGCTGAGGGAGACTTTGCTACTGACATGTCTGAAGTGACTACTCGAAAGGGAATGAGATCAGTGTGGTTTTTTAGTTGTTGTTATTTCTTTCCTCTTGTTTACTTCAGGATCTTAAAGGGCATGCGATTGAAGCTGCTTTATGCAATTATTTAGCAAATATTTGATTGTCTGCTATGTAACGATCACGGTGATGGTTTGAGATAATGGGAGTTCCGAGCTAAGAGAATGGGTAAAGGGGTTTGAAATAGAATGATAGAGAGGATGGAGGAAAGTGTACACATTTGAAAACATGTAGGGAATTTTTCAGGGTATGGTGGTTATGAACTTGGAGGCTGAATGAGAAAGAGGCAAACAAGACCGCCAGGTTCGGACTTTCCCTGAGAAGGGAGGCAAAGTAAAAAAAAAGATGAGAAGCAAGGTAGGGGAGAAGTTAAGTTCACACCTACGGGGGTTTGTTTCCTAGTGAAAGGGGGGGTTTGTTCCTTTTTAAGTTTTGCATCTCAGAAGTATAGTTGACTCACAAAATGTTGGCTGCATGCCTTCCCCTACAGAGAGCTGTTGACAGGAGACTAGTTCAGATTAATAAAGTGGAGTAGCCTAATAGTGCTTAGTACATAGTAAACACTCAATAAATAGCTGTTAAATGAATGAAACTTGTTGCGATAAGACACAATGTAGTATCTTGTTTATTTTGTGGTTGAAAATAAATAGACATTCTTTCATTGAGATACAGTCACTGACGTGTAGTAATTTTAAAATCTTTTGTGAATGCAATGCATGCTGTTATTCTTTTACTGAAGTTAGTCTTCAAACCAGTTAATCTGTCTCCAGATAAAGAGTTGACTGCATTTTTATGCAATGGCACTGGGTATTTTGATCATCTCTCATAGGAGCCTTCTGTTGTGCAAGAAACAAAATAAATACTACAACTTCATATTTTTTATTAGCCTACATGTCAAGTTGAAAGCATATATTGAACAAGATGATATCTCATCATGTTTGTTATCAGAAGTAGCAGCTTGATCTTTGACAATTGTGATTGAATTTTCACACTGAGTATAAAGCATTTGGTTTGATGATAAACCTCTCCACAAGGAATTCCATATTTATTTGACAGTAGAAAGACAGGGAAATATTTTAATCTGTTAAAACATTCTGGGTAATTATATGACACTTAACATTCTAGATCCCAAATCCTTACTTTTAAATGGCCTTTACAAATTTATCTCAAGTATGAAGAATGCATGAAAATTTATATTAAATTATTAACTTTGCATTGTTTTGAAATAAGTACATGACTCTTTAGTACCAACCACATTATAGTTTAATTTTAGGAGCTACATTATATCTTTGGATACATTCGTAATTGAGATGGCTAATTATAATGTCTCTGAGTTCAGAGAGAAGAGATTTATTTACTTTTTATGTCCCAAAGATTTGATGTGACATATGACATATATATAAAAGTAAAACATGACATGTAAGATAAACATAGACTAGAATTCAAAATTAAAGTTAAGGTTTAGATGTGGTACTTTCTGGTGGCCAAAGTGATGTGCAACATTTTCATGAAATTTCGTGAACTAAAAACAGCGTTTTCTCTGATTTGCTAAATCTGAACTTCATAAGAAATTTCACCTGTGTATCCTTATAAAAGAAAAATGTGGTGCTGAACAGTATTCCTATAAACAACAAATGAAAGAATTAGTTTCATGAGAATCTTTCTTTTAAAACCATGCCTTTCTTCCCTTCTTTCCCCTTACTCTTTCCAAAATTGTATATAGGGCCTCTTAAGGACCTGATATCTTAACCTTCATGAAAAGATACAACTGTACTTTCCAGTCACAGTAGTGATACTCCCAGTTTAGGTAAAATGGTATAAGTATCTTGCTTTCTGATGGCTTGACTTTTTAAAAGTATAAACTTTAGACTATACAGAAAAATGGAGGACTGCCTATAATTCAAAAATTCTCCAAAGATATTACTGGGATTTGGATAAAACTTGGTTAATAGGCATTTTGAGATTATATTCATGGGGCGGAGGATTGCCATTCATTAAATGTATATCTACATCCTTAGAAATCTAATCAGCAGATGGTAGATGCTTTTCTGACCAAAATACCTACCTGGAAAGATTTGTATCTGGTTATTGTTGAAGGTGTTTCTTCAAGAGAACCTGTTGGTAGGATCAAGATCTTTTTTTTTTTTTTTTCCAAGTTGTTCAGCATTCTAGGTAAAGAATAAATTGACCCAACCATTGCAGTTCAACAATATATTAAAATATATTAATAATTTTGACTTGGAAATTTAAGAAGCAAGTGTTACTAACCCACACACAATGTTTAATAATGTTTACTAATGTCTAATGAGATGTGTGATTTCTGAATAACAAATCATTCTGATCAATACAACAGGATGATGTAACTGTTCAAGGTAATTAGATAAACTGACTTTCTGTGTTGGGATAATAGATATAAGTTTTGAAGGAATTTACTAAGTGCAATAACTAATTTTTATCAGTATTTATGCTGTTATTCTTTGGGAAAATTACAGAAACAAATAATTATTGATTCCACTTTAAATATATCCATACTGTCTCTTTGTAGGAAGCTTTCTGTTTTCTACGGCAGTAGAATATGGAATGAGTTCATCTCAAAGTTGAAGTCATTAAAGGATATACAGCAATGGGGCTTTGGATGTTGGGGGTTAGATATTAAAAGGGTGAGGGTGGCAGGCAAGATTGATTTTTACCTATGAATTCTCTTTTCTAGTGCATGATTTTTAAATCTGATCTTGAGGGTATTCCTTTTATAAAAACAGGCTAACCATAAGTAGAATAACTTCACCAAAGCTGTGATAGGGTTAATTAAAACAACAGAAACAACAAAAAATATTGAATTCCCACTTTCTTTAATGTTTCCAGCAACGTGAGTGAGTGACTTTTTAAAATTATGACAACTTTTTCTTGGATGATATTGATTTGTAACCTGGAATACCCTTTAAAAATATGATGCCTCAGCATCAACATCAGTTAAATTAACTCAGACTGTATGGATGTGGATCCTGATTAGTG